AGAAAAAAATAGCAAATAGTATGCTTTGATCTGTATTCAAACTCCACAGTTCTTTCTTTGGATGTGGATAGCATTTTCCATCATGCGGCCTTTGGAAATATCTTAGATTCTTGTATTGCTGAGAAGGGTTAAGTCTGTCAATATTAGTCATCGCACAACGTGGCTGTTACTGTGTACAACGTTCTGGTTCTGCTCACTTCACTCAGCATTAGACCATACAAGTCTTTCCAGGTTTTTCTGAAGTCCGCTTGCTCATCATTTCTTATAGTGCAATAGTGTTCCATTACATTCATATGCCACAACTTGTTCAGCCATTCCCCAATTGATGGGTGGCTATCTTCTTATCAACTGCCTTTTCTAGATACTTCATTACCCTTTTCCCCCTTTTCAGGCCTGGAATGGTAATCAACTCAATATGTCATTCTTACTGAAAAGGATGTATCAGTCCTCTCCTCTGTAATCCTATTTACTATCCTGGTGACTTTCCAAATTAAAATAAGTCTCCCTGGTCACCACTTCCCTATATGTATTACCTCTACTTACTTAATCAACCAATCAATCAACATTTATAAAGCACCTACTATGTGCAAGGCATTGTGTTAAGCACTGGAATATAAACTCCTTGAGGGAAGGGACTGTCTTCATTTCAATATTTGTACCCTCAGTACCTAACACAGTGCCTGGCACATAGTAAATGCTTATTAATGCTAATGTTATTATTATTGTTATTATTATTATTGTTATTATTATCTGCCCATCTCCACTTAAGGAAAATTACTTTATTGGCATTGTGTAGACTGGTTTAGAGTGGTTAGACCCTTGAGTCAGGGAGATCAATTAAGTTGTAATAATCCAGAGGAGAGGTGAAGAGGGCTTCACCTAAAGGTGACAGGTTTGTACACAGAGAGAAGGGGTCAGACGGGAGGGGTGCTGAGGAGGTAAATAAGGCAAGATTCATCAATGGCATGGATATGTGGGGTGAGGGAGAATGGGGATGAAGATTACAAACCAGGGATACTGGGATGGTGGCATCTGTGACAGAAATAGGGAAGTTTGGAAGAGGGAGGGAGCTTAAGAGGAAAGACAAGGAGTTCAGGCTTGGACATGCCCAGTATGACATGTTGTTGGGACACTCCATTTGAAATGCACAGTAGACAATTGAGGGGGAAGAACTGAAGTTCCAGGAAGGCAGAGAAGGATGAAGGCTGACTATGTAGCTCAGCTGCCATTTTTATAGCTCTTTAAAGTTTATGGTGCACTTTAAATTATATACTCTTACTTGATGCTCACAATGACTCTAATGAAGTGGTTCCTAATGGTAATATAATCCCTATTTTCTAGGTGAAAAAAACACAAGATCATAGAGTTAGAGTTGGGGTGGACCAGAAAAGGTGTATAGTCCAGCCCCACCCTCCCCCTCAATTTTCCACATGAAGGAATTAAGGCCTAGAGAGATGAAATGACTTGGCCCAAGTTCACACAGAGGCAGGATTTGAACTCAGGTCCTGTGACTTTGGGATCTGTATTCTTTTCACTGTCTTATCCTATCTCCTTTAGGCTCAGTTAATGAACTTGCCCATAATCAGAGAGTTTGTGTCAGAGGTCCAATTCAGAACTAGGTCTTTGTCAAATTCTATCCCCAGCACTCTTTCTACTATTCCAAATTGGAGATCATGCCAGCAAAGGTGATGAGCTTTGCATATGGTAAATCATTTTGTCATTTATCAAACTCCTGTCATGTGCAGAGATCTATGCTGGGTGCTGGGGATATAACAATTGAATAAGATGCAACCCCAGCCAGTTCATTAACCTGTCCTTACCACTGCTGCTTGTATTCCAAATCCATTTACCAACAAGAAACCACTCAGGACCAAGGTCAGGGCCAGCCCCACACACTGCAACTAGTTTACCAATGAGCTGCCCTCTTAATCTTAGAGGTGCTCAGAGCAGGGATTAAAGAGGAAGTCTACTTTTGTGGAAAGATCCCTGAACTAGGGTTCAGCATACTTGGATTTGAATCCCATCTCTGCCATTAACAAACTGTGACCTGGAGAAGTCTTTTCTCCTCTCTGGACTTCAGTTTCCTCATCCATAAAACAAAGGAGATGGACTAGATCAGAGGTATGAAACATATGGCTTATGGATCACCATGAGGCCTGCGCTCTACTCCTAAGTGTGGATGATGCAAAATGTAATTGGGAAATATTAAACAAAATAAATAAAAATGTAATAGAACCATGTATGGTTTTCCAAGTATGGTTTATTTTCTATTTATTTGAAACCATTGGACTAGATGACCCCCAAGGTTCTTTTCAATTCTAATGTCCTTCGATATATAATCTATAACCCCTTCTCTTTCCTTGATATATCTTTCTTCTTTCTTTCCACAGTACCACTGAAGCCTGGCCTAACTGAGATCTGACCTGTGACCTCTTGGTACCAAGTAAGTGTAGCCTTTGACTTCTGCATGCACAACACACACACACACACACACACACACACACGTTACCACATCTTAACTCTTGCTCCTTATAGCCATATCTCTCATTTTTCTTCCTTCCAAAGCTCTCACACCAACTCTTCTCCTCACTTAGACATGCAATTTTACATCAGCATTCTCTCCACAAATCTGGAGTCATGCCTAAGCAGCAGCATGCAAAATATCCCAGGGTTAAAAACCCAGGTAAGAATAGATGCAGAGAATTTGATCGTTGGAAGGGACCTCGGCAGCTATCTAATCTACACCATCCATGAGAGGATTTCTCACTATACCATGTCTGACAAGTGGGAGCAATGAGCTGTTCTTTGAAGGAATCTAGAGATTCTATGAGCTGGAGGTGAGGCAGGAGTCATTCCTGGCATGATGGATGACTTGGGCAAAGACTTAATGAGGGAATGTTGTGAACAACAAGAAGACCGATTTGGCTAGAACACAGAGTACACGGGGGAGAGAAATGTGCAATTTGTCCATAAACATAAGCTGGTATCAGATTATGAAAGGCTTTAAATAGCAAATAGAGGCATTTATATTTTATTCTAGAGACAACAGGGAACCACTAAAGCTTCTTGAGTAGGTGAGTCAGACCTGGGCTTTAGAGATATTAATTTAACAGCTATGTGGAAAATAGATAGCAGCATGGGCAGGCTGAGGGCGAGCAGATGGTTTTGGGAGCCCTTGCAATGCTACAGGCAATGAACTAGGGTGATGGTCATGTGAGTAGAAATAAAGGGGTGAATGTCAAAGATGTTGTGGAGGGCGAACTGACAGAACTTGGCAACCGATTGAATGTGGGGGCTGATTGAAGGTGACCCCATAATGACCCCATGGTTGGTGACCTGGGTGACTGGAAGGATTGTGGCACCCTTGACAGAAATAGCAAAATTAAGAAAAGATGATGCTCGAAAGAGGTTACACATACATCTATCAATTTGAATGAGTTTATCAAAAAACTTCTTAGAGTAAGTTTAGGTGGAGGGAGAGAAAGGAGAATATGAAGTTGAGTAGACTGAAATAAATGCCTAGGGAAAGCAAGTGTATATTGTTGAAGGAAGGTGGGGGAATTTCTGTTGGTTTTTTTCCCAACTACATGTAAAAACAACTTTAACCATCATGCTTTCTGTAATTTTGAGCTCCAAATTCTCTCTCACCCTTCCTCCCCTCCCAAGGAGGGGGAATTTCCAGACAAATTTTATTGACTTCACAAATTTACCAAGAGTTGACCATGTGTGGTGTGGGCCATGAAGTTTAATGGAGAGGTGAGAAGTTGCTGGGCTGACTGTTCCCATTGGTAAAGGGCAAGAGTATGTCTATGCCTGGGAAACATGAACCATGGGCAAAGAAACCAAAGCATAGGACAGACTTGGGTTTCCTCCTATCAGGGAACTAGTGTGATCGCTCTGCTTGTACCCTGTTGTTACCAGCCCAGTCCAATTACTCAATAAGCATTTATTGAGAAAATGTTATATATCAGTCATGCGGTCCACAGACATTTACTAAGTTCATACTATGTGTTAGACTCTGGAGCTACCAATTAACGTAAAGATATGGTTCCTGTCTTTAAGGATCTCCCATTCTAATGAGAGCCATATTTTAATATGCCAAGCACTATACTAAGCACTGGGGATGCAAAAAGAAAAGTGAAAGAATCTCTACCTACAAGGAACTTATATATTCTAATGAAGGAGACAACATGTATATCAAAGATGCATAAAGAGGAGGTGAGCAATAACCTTTGAGGGGTGGGCACTAGTTATTGGAGGTTGCAGAAAAACTCCTGCAGAAGGTGTTGAACTGAATCTAAACCCTGGTCTGTAGAGCAGAACATCAGCTCAGAAAAGAATGTTAACATTCTTTTCCTGGCTCTGAAGCCAAGGACTTTGTAATGGCCTAGGTCCCAAATTGTTTCTCTTATCTCTCTCTACTATCCCCTGACATAGAATGATATTCTAGGCAGCATGGCCTTAAAGGATTCCTTATCCCACTAGAAGGACAATTAGGTGGTACAGTGGATAGAGCACAGGGCCTAGAGTCAGGAGGACCCAAGCTCAAATCCAACCTCAGACATTTACTAGCTATGTGACCCTGGGCAAGTCACTTAACTCTGTTTACCTCATTTTCCTCATCTGTAAAATAAGCTGGAGAAAGAAACGACAAACCACTCCAGTATCTTTGCCTAGAAGAGCCCAAAAGGGGTCACAAAGAGTCAGACGTGACTGAATGAGTACAGCAACAACAAGTCTCATTCTAATGACGCTGGATTGAGGAGATTTCCTACAGAAGTTCATAGAGTCACAGAATTTGTACCTACATAGAACCTTAAAGATCATCTAATCCTATACCAATTTCACAGATGAGGAAGTTGAGACCCAGAGAGGTTAAATGAGTTGCTCAAGGTGACTCAGCTAGTTAATGGCACCTGATCCCATGCCTATCATTCTTTCCACATCATGTTCTATTATTTATTTGTTTGTTTGTTTACTTATACCATTTTAAAAATTTGAGTCCCAAATTCTCTCCCTCACTCCAGCCTCTCCCCTACCCATTTAGAAGGCAAAGGAATATATCAGTTATACATGTAAACTACATGCAAAATATATTTCCATATTAACCATGGCCATCATGTTCTTATACTGTGAATTTATTTACATGAACTAAGACAGAGGAAAGTCTCTTGAATGTTGAGTAGATCCTCAAGAGAGAGCTTACTGAAAGACATTGAAAAGGATGAGAAGGCATGGATGGATGGTGATCTGTACCAGCAGAGGGAGTGTCCTTAAGAGTAAGATCATGGAGCCATTGAAATATTCAAGTGTGGAAGTTGAGCAAATGTCAGGGACATTGAAGGGGAAGTGATCCCACAGGTCACAGAATCACAAAATCAGAGCTAGAAGTGAACCTAGAGGCTATCTGGTCTAACCCACTTATTTTAGATAAGGAAACTGAGGACCACAGCACTTAGGTACTTTGCCCAAAGTCACACAGGTAGTAGTAAGGGGCACAGAAAGATTTGAATCCATGCCCTCTGACTCTATGTACTGATTCCATGGAAGGAGTAGTTGGTTGTTTTGTCTCACTGTGGGAAAGAAGGGAATCCACTTGTTGGGTTTTTATGTCAGGAATTAGGGTGGATAATAAACTGAAGAACATTCAAAGAAGGACAACTAGGACAGTGAAAGGCCTTGAGCTCATTCCATGTGAGGATCGGGTAAAGGAACTAAGGATATGTAGCCTGGAGAGATGGTGCCAGAAGGAAACCAAATAGTTGTCTCCAAGTATTTGAAGGGTTGTCATGTTCAACTTGATCTTTTTGAATCCATAAAGCAGAAATAGCCTGTGTGGAACTAGTATAACAGGCAAATTTAGACTTGAGGTCAGGAAGAACTAGAGCTGTCCCAATGTGAAATGGGAGGTTATGAGTTGACTGTCTTCAATTAGAGGACAGGTGACCATGTGTACAGTAAGTTGTAGAGGGGAATTCTTTTATATATATAGATTTGAGTTGACTAGATGTCAACCACAGTCCCTTCTAAAATTTTGTGATTGATTGATTCCAAGATCTAGTATTTTTTCAACTGTATTATAACTAAAATGGGAGAAGGAAATGGCAAACCACTATAGTATCTTTGCCAAGAAAATTCCATGGACAGTATGGTCCATGGGGTCATGAAGAGTTGGATATGACTGAACAAAAATAATAATTAAAATGAAATTTTATTTACCCTGGTTGAAGTGTAAACATAGGGAAGGAGGGAAGAGGGGGTCATGTAGCAATCATGGAGAACAAGTTGTAGATCTATTGTTGTTGTTGTTGTTCCTCCTTCATTTTTGAAGAGGACCAATGACATCAGAAGGGTGATGTCTTGACTTGCAAATGAATCAGATTTAAGTTAGACAGGGCTATGCAAATTCATCAGCCTCATTCTCTCCTCCAGAGTCATCAGAATCTAGTAGCATGACATAGGTGAGGACAACTGGCGATGGCCCCCTATAGATCCATTATGATAAAGCAAAACACCAAATGAAGTTTTTATCAACTGAAGAACAATTATTAAATTTATGACTAGTACTTCAACTAATTTATTTGCTTAGTAATATTCTTTGACTTCATTATAGCTGTCATAAAATACTAAGTTTGCTTGTTGATTGATTTCTTATGTTAGCTCATCTGCCTGAAGTATAAAGAGGACAATGCATATATTTTCTAATTGCTCTTCCCCTGGCTTCAGATATGTTATATCTCTCTATATACACATATACATTTAAGCCTTTTTTTTCCCTCTACGGGGTTCTTCCTATTAAAAGATAAGGTTTTTGCTATCCTGTTTGTGGGAACGGTTGAAAAACCACACTGTCCTTTGGTCTGTGACTATTTGCTGAACATATAAGCATCTCTTGCCTTTTGGAATTTTCTCTTTTCACTTCACAAGTTGGGTTTTGCCTTTGTTCAAAAAGAGTCTTTCAGTTACTGAGATCTACACATCAAGTTGGTTGGTCATACTGCCACTGGTACATGTGAGCAAATCTTTTTATGGATTTATGTGTTTTGGGGTTGCTTTGCCTTGTCTCTCCTGATAGATTGTAGGCTCTCTGAAGGCAGGTTCACTCTTTGTTCTTAATTATGCATCCTACGGGCCTTAAACTTTACACCTTGTAGACAAACATAAATACATGGCCATGGCTGACTCCTTGGACCTCAAATGTATGTCAACATTAAATCAATTAGTCATAGAAAGTCAGAAACTCAGAGGTCCTCTAGTCTAACTCCCTCATTTTACACACTTGACCTTTATGGTCCTTTCTTGCTCTAAATATGATCCTGTGAAATTCAGAGAGGTTTGGTTATGTGGCTCAGCCCTCATTATTGACAGATTAATAATTATGGATAATAGCATATTATTAATAACAATGACTGATTAATATGAATGATAATAAATAATCTAATA